CTAAACGTGTCTCACGATAAATTCTGTTACATAAAAAATGTAATTTAGTTTTTGCGTAGATTATAAATAAAATTCTTAGTCAAAACCGCCGCTTGGATGTTTCCCCGGGCATAGACTTCCTTGTTTACTTCGTGACATTGGCCAATCAGCAAGATGCAAACATAAACGTAACAATATCCCCTTTCGCATTCGCTCAGACACATTTCTCACAGATTTTCAGACGTGGTCGTGAACATTACCTCATTTTCGCGTTTTTGAATTATAGTCGTTAGGTGACCGTACATTTGAACCCATGTAAATTTGAACCCATGCTTATATCCACGGGTTCAATCTATATGCGGGTGCTAAAACCCATGGGTTAGGGTTAGTATGGGTTTAACTATCCGTGAAAACAAAAAAAAATTCCATAGGTGCAATAGCATACAGGTGCAATTGTCATGGGTTCAGATGTACGTGGGTTCAAATGTAATGGAACCTAGTCGTTAGTATTAGTTGTTTTTTCGGAAATTTAAATATAAATCGAATAAGTCAATGATCACTTTGTCTTCCTAGGAGTTTCAGTTTAATTACAGGAATTAAAAATTAATACAGAAATAGCTGTGATAAACAAGGCTAAAATTCTTTACCGGTACCTTTAAAAAACAAATTGTTGAATAGTATGAATTAGAATGATAGTTTGAAAAAAATACCCCATTTTACAGGCAACAACTCGCGAAACCACTCTTAGAATAAGCACCGACAATTTTAAAATGGTAAAGTATTGGAATAATTTTCCGGGGTCAAAGGTCGGGGAAAGGTCCATTCAGTGAAGCATCCCGGGCCAGGGTATTTTACTCCGGCCGTATTTTGCCGACCACTGGGATACGCAAACTGCCGTATCTTACTGCGAAGACGAGTCCAACAATCCTTTTGCGTGTGATAATCACCCACGTGATTCAAACCTACGAAAGCACGCAGAGTACAGTAATCAAGTACATCGATGCGCCGAAAAAAAACAGGTTACGCAAAATCGCCCCCCTACCCCTATCGCCCCCTCTGTCTTTTTCGCCCCATGTGTATCGTTTTTGCCCATCGGGGGGCGATATCGCCCACTTTTTTTTTTCTTTTTTTTTTCACGGATTAGAGTTTTCTTAGAGTTTTTTTTTTTTTTTTTTCGTTTACGGATCAGAGTTTTCTGGTCTCGGATCAGTGTCTCATATCCGAGTCACATCGGTACTAACGCTTCGTAGTCATGTCGCGGGGTACACGACCGTCATACATATCTGGGAGCTTCCGTATATGCTATGCATTGCACGGTAAAAACTTCGACCCCGAGCTTCTGTACATGCTATTTGCCAGATAGCATGACGTTAGCCCAGGGCTTCCGTTAATGCCATGCATAGCTCAACTTCCGCTGCCCTGGCTTCCGTACATACTGTGTGAAGACGTGTAGCGCGCACACAGCATGACATCCATCGTGAAGCTACCTTTTCATCATTTCCGTAGGGGTTGTGATGGTATTAGCAGTTTTACGCTCCCGTTTGTGGGGGGTGGGGATGCAGTTATTATGGGGGGCTAGGTCGCTACTCTGTTCTGAAGTAGTAGAGTTTTCCAGTCTAACCTGAGTTCAAATATTTGGGCTGATCCGAGCGTAAGTATTATGATGTCCATATATTGAGTAAATTTTAATATTACTCTTTGATATACACTTTCTATATCGCAGACGGTTCCATATCTATTTTGCCTGTCTAATTCAATTTTTAGTTGATGACTTCAGATTTTAGTACAGAGAAAATCTTGAGTACAACAAGTTGGTATTTATCTTCAAAAGTGTTGTCGAATATTTGTTGCCGACTTAATTGTAATTTGTGGCCTGTTATAATGTCCAGTGTTTGGCTAACTGATTTAATTTCAGCCCACTTTGGGAATCACGGCTCTAGACGAGTAATTCTCGTGCATCAGTTGCCTGGCAGGTATCACATTTTTAAGCTACCAATTATGGTGATTGATTACTATTTGAAATTCCAGCCTATGTTCGAAAGGGCAAATAATATATATAAGTGCCATTCCAATATTTCAAGCATTCACATCATCATCTACGCTCACTGGAGCTATAAATATATTTCATACCCATGAAATACCTATGAATATAGTCCTTAATAATATGTTAGAAATGCCGTCAACTTTATATGCTTGTTACGTCGACATACGCTTCAATCATCTCATTGGCATACTCGAGCCGTATAAGGATAGGAGGGTTGAAGGGAGGTAGGAAAAGGAGGTGATGATAGCAGGGTTAAAGAGAGGCCAAGACGGAATACTCGCCACTAGAGGGTTCAATGAGTGTGCATCAGGGTGCATTTCTCCGAACCCTCCCATGTGGCGGGAAATGTTTCGTCGAGGCCAGGCGTTCTGTTAATCTTTACCTTTTATTTTTCAGAAAAAGAAAGACCATCTAAAAGCCTCCCCTGCAACAAGTAAGTATAAAAAAGTAAGTATCGGTGGGTTGAGGCCTACTTTAAAAAAAAAAAAAAAAAAAAAAAAAAAAAGGTTAAAGAGAGGTAGGAAAATGGGGCGGGAATAGGAGGGTTCAGGGGGAGGAAGGGAGTTGGATCAGGATAGGAAGGTGGAGGGGAAATAGCGAAGTGGAGCGAGGTTTTAGGAAATGGGCAGTAGGTCGAGGATAGGAAGGTTGGGGGAGATGGGCAGTAGGTCGTGGTTAGGAAGGTTGGTTGAGCGCGGGCAGTGGGTCGAGGGTAGGAAGGTTGAGAGAATGTACTCTTTCAATTTATCTTTATAATATTATTTTGTTCAAGCATCCTTGTGGCAACTGACACATAATTCGAAGCAAGAAGTAACAAAGAAGAAAGGACTTGCAGTTCAGTACACAATACCCTACTACCGCCTAAGTTATATTCATAATTACTCGATGTGATGAAAGAATTATTTGCGATATGTTTTCTGGTTTGAGATTTATTTTCCCTTTCCATCGAGCAATTTCTTTGAACATTTTCGCCATATTATTTGGGTACATTATCGTATCATTTCTCTTAATTAAAAATATTCTGACACAAAAAAAGATTCGCTGATAAAATTTGGTGAAATTAAAAAGAAACGATGGCACTGAAAACGCATGACAGTGACAGTCAGTGAAAGAGACATTCCGCTTATGATCAGATTTCCAAAGTAAAGGGAAAACGCCCATTGTAACCTCATTTTCCTATAATAATTTGCTACGATTTGTACGACTGTGTGTATTGAGGACGTAATTATGTAAAACAGAGTAGTCGTTCGGATCATCCTTGATTTCTTATGGACCTTTAACCCCCGAAAAATTCTTCCTATACTTTACCATTGCAAAGTGTCCGGGGCTTATTTTAAGAGTGGTTCCACGAGTTGGCGCCTGTAAAATGGGGTATGTGTGTCAAACCATCATTATGATTCATCGCATACAACAATATGTTTTTTTTAAAGTACCGGTAAAGAAATTTACCGTAGCCTAGTCCATCACAGCTACTTAGTAAACTAATTTTTTATTACTGCAATTAAATTAAAACTCCTAAAAAGACAGAGTTATCATTAAATTATCTGATTTATATTTAAATTTCCGAAACACAACTGAAAACTAACGAACGCGAAAATGAGGTAATGTTTACGACCACACCTAAAAATCTGTCTGAGAGAAAAAAGTGTCTGAGCGGATGCGAAAATGGAGCATTGTTACGTCACTCTTTGCATCTTGCTGATTGGCCAATGTCATAAAGTAACAAAGGAAGTTGAGGCTCGGGGAAAAGTCCATTTGTTTTAGAACAGATTTTAATGTTTCGGTTTGAATTGAATAAATCGATTACCGGAATGTTTTCTTCCTGTTTGTCATTTTACAGACGGTCTAGCTACGTATAATCTTGCCAACTATCCAAGGCGAGTACAATGTTGTCGCGGCAATGGTAAACAATGAATAGATGGCGAGAGCTCCGGGTGAAAAATAAACTATCAGTAGTCAGAACAGACATCATACGCAAAGTTATGAGCGGGATGAATTGCAAGCACAATTGAGACAAATTACGCTTAGAGTAGAAATAACAGAACCTTTCAGTCTCGATTGGATCTCGACCGCTTTGGCGAATTGATTGTGGGTAAAAAACAAGAGAATAATAGTGGAAGATAGGGACACAAAAGTAAATGGCTACTGCCATATTCAAGTCAATGATGAAATAAATATACAAAATATTAAATGATGGCCTTGTTGTGGAAAAAAATCGCTTTTTTTTTTAATTAAATACTGGACGAATTGCTTTGAAATATTCTCAATGGTAGAAAATTTTTGTTGTTGATTTTTCGGATCCGTTTCTCACCTAGACATTTTGTGTGGTGACGCGACTGTATATCAGCTAATCTCGCGCCATATTTCGCTGAGTTTTGGTAGTACCGTACAGTAGACTAGATTTAGTGAGGTACGGGCACTGTAAAATATTTGATGATATTGCGGGTAAAATATTTCGTTTTAATCCTCGTTTCAAATATTCGAGCATTTCTCTCTTGTTATTTCGAGTAGGCTTCAGCAACAGTGCATGGGAAACGGTTACTGCCACGTTCTTCCTATTTTTTGTTGAATTTCATTTGATGAAATACGATAAATGAGGTGTCATATTACGCGCACTTTTTTCTACACGTAAACATTTCATTTCCGTCACCTCGACACAGACAGTTTGGGACTGGTAATGTAAATTTCTGCACAGAACTGGCGACTAAGTCATGCAACTTATTCGTTTTCATCAGCAGGTTTGTGCAATTTAAGTGAAGAAAATGTAATGCAGCAATACGACTTACCGGAATATGCTCGCCACTGATATAGTTTAGTAAAAAATATAATACGTTTATATATTTTTATATGTTATATTTCTGTTTTTGGGTTTTAAAAAAGTATTAATTCTTTTGAAATAAATGAACGTGAGAACTTTTTATTTGTCACGACTACGAAAACTCTTCTGTTTTCAGTTTTTAAACGAAGTTTAGCCACAATGCAATACACTGTGTATTCTAAACGATGGCTGTTAGCAGCCGCCTTGAATATTGGTATATTCAACTATCAGTTCACAACATTATCTTACGGAGCTGTTAACAACGTAGTTACTTCATTCTTTGAAGAAATTCCTTACGCAACAGATGCTCTGCCTGTCATAGCTCATGCCGGGGGAATATTTGTGTCGCCTTTCTTGATTCTATTCGCAGGAAAAATTGGTGTTAGGATGCAATTGATCTTTGGATGCGTTTGTGCATTCCTTGGAATGCTGTGCAACGTACTTGGATTCATCAGCAGGTTTGTGCTATTTAAGTGAAGAAAACATAATGCAGCAGTACGACTTTACCGGAATACCGGTATGTGCTCGCCAGTCGCCACTAATATGGTCTAGAAATAATTAGTTCAGAAGATCCTGTGTGCTGCAAAGCCACACAAATAGGTTCGAAGTTCACGATGCAAACGAATATACTTTATTAAATAGTGTAAAATCCACGCTTCAAGCCAACACCTAACATACCAGATAAGCAGATAAAATAGGAGCGACAAAAATACGGTCCTTACTCAGCGACAGCAAAGAGGCCGACGCTGTGAACCCACAGCACAGTTCACATATGCAGTGGTTGTTGTAGTCGAGTAACTGGATCTAACTATCGGGCGAATTAGGGCTCAGACTCCACACACCAATGCATATGCAATCAATAACTTGACAAAAAATATAAATAAAATATAAAACAATAAAAAATAGAAAACACTAGTCCCGCCACAGTAATATTTGTAATGTGCTATATCTTTTCGTTGCAATTTTTCTTCTGTTTCTTTCTTCCATACCGCCCATATACTTTGTTTCCTAAAATATTTTTAGTTATGCAACAGGCATGATTCCAAGATTCCTAATCGTGTATACAATTTTTAGAAAGACGTACTTTTTGCTGCTCATTGGAAACTCACTTGTTGGACTATCTGACGGAGTTTTTTACATTCTTCCAATGACACTTGCCGCTAGCTGGTTTCCTGTGAATGAGAGAGCAACAGTCATTGGTATGGCATGGCTTTCAGGTGCTGTGGGCTATGCTTTTTCTGGCGCACCTTTTTCAGGCGTCTTTGGTAATGCCACTGATGCCAACGTAGGGTTAATTTCTCCCAATAGGATTCAGGAAGTTTTTGCTTCAACATTTGGAGTGCTTTGTTTTTTATTGTTCGTATCCACAATTTCCGTATGGATATTTCCTGCTGATCATCCTCCGTCTCCTCCTACTGCTGCACAACAAAACATAATAAAACAACGAAATGAAGAAAGAGAAGCTAATTGGCAAGCAAATTTAAAGACAAGCGTCGATTTGCTACGTAACCGGAATTTTTTGTTGTTAACTACATCCCGCGCATTAACAGTTTCTGTATATGCTATGACAAGAGTGTTAAATTCTTCCATGATACTGAAGACATTTCCAAGCATGTCAGATTCGTTTCCAGGATTGCTACGGACCATTGGAGCATGTGTAGCAGCTCTCACATCTATCGTGACTGGAAGATTCTTGGATAGCTTCGGTTACTACAAGGAGTCGTGTGTTGTATGTGAGTATCCTAGGCGAGTTTTTAAGATGTTCCAAACTATCGAAAGAAGGTGCAATATTATCGAGCTATTATATAACTGGAAGAAATTGTGTAGTTCCTCTATTTACGTCAAAATTGTTCGGCTAATGGTCAGTTTTATAATGCAGACAGCTAAAGTTCTCTGACGAAATGCAATATATTGGATATAGGATAATGACCAATGTAATGTATTAATGACCAGGAATGTAATTTAAATGAATTTTTCTGATTTTTTTAGCATTCGTTGCGATAGTTCTGTGCTCACTTGGAATATTTCTAGGACATCACTTCAAAAACATTATTGCTATCGGAATGTTATATCCTTCAATAATGTCTGTTAGATTACCGACAGGTGTAATCATACCTGAATTGCTGCTTGATGCTACATATCCTGTCAATAATCTAATAATGTTGACGCTATACAACATAACTCTCAATGTAGCGGCAGTATCGTTCGTTTCTCTTGAACGATTTATATTGGAAGTTTACGATGAAGCAATGGCGGCATTGGTGCCCCTGATAGCTAATATTTTGGCCTTATTACTACTTTTACGCGCAAATCCGAAGTACAAACGCAGTGCAATGGATGAAAGAAAGAAATCAAACTCTGTATCTCAGACAGATGAATAAAAGGCAGTCGATCATGATGATATTTTGATCTAAGTTGTTCGTATGATTTTTGTATGGACCTTGTATGGCCACAAAGAATGCTTGGCGGCCACGAGCGAAATATTTTTTGAACATTTTACCTAAATATAAAATATGAAAATTGGTCAAAATCCTCCGTTATTACGATATATACTCGATTCATGTTGCAATGAATTTTGTAACACTTTAGGAATATTATGTTGTGGAGGTGTTGTTTAGTACGTTCTGAGGTTGCGACTGAGATTTTGCATTGACAGCGATGCAGGATCGCGAATGAGTATGCTTGCCAAGTTAGTAACACTACCATCCATAGAAGATTTCGAGCTGTGCTGCAAAGCCATACAGCAGATTCGATAGTCCGATGACCAGGCTTGTCCACGGGAAACGTCCCATGAGATGGGACACACATTTGTATTTCCCATGGGACACGAAATACCGTATGATTTTCGGGGAAATGAGGGTAAAACATTTCGTTATGGACTTTGTGTCCATATATTTGAGCAAAGCTATCTTCTTAGTTATAAAGAGCGAAATGTATTCAGCATTAACAATAAACTTTAAGAAAGAGCTGATTGACACATATAAAATAGTTATGGATTTAAAGTTAACAAAGTCCGTAAATTTTGTTGTTTTGCATGTCTCTTCGTACATGTAGTCCTATTTAGTACACGCTAAACCTAAATTTAACAATTTTTAACGAATTTTATTCCAATGGAAACCCCATGGGATGAGATAGGACAGGAATATATGCTATTGGGTGGGATGGGAATGGGACAGAAAAATATTTCCAATAGACAAGCCTGCCAATAACACTATGTATAAGAGAGGTGACGATAGGCAGCATATATTCATCTCTACTGCTAACACGATATATAGAAGTAGATTCTGATTCTGATAAATTTTTTTCAGAATGTAATAATCAATATTAAGGAACGCTATGATAAAATTGAAAACGGATATTGGCTCTTAACAGTTGGTAGGCAACAGGTCATCTTGTCAGCGGCACCTACAAATGAAAAAATATATAACGATGAAGCAACCAGATGAAAAAATTATCTAAAAAAATACGAAAATGTTTTGGAATGGAAAGTGTAACGAAGACACGGTATTACAAAATTTGCTTGTACGGCCGTTCCTCATGGCAGGCTGAAAATAGATTGATCAACAATTTCAGGTCGAGTCGGATCCATGACTCATTTAGCAATATTTTAGGTGGATATGCCAAATACTCATCGTTATTTTACTAAATATTGTTACCCTATAATGTTACATTGCCATAAGCTGCATCACCATATTGTGCCATTAATGTGACTGTTATGTATATTTGTAGCTTTTCAAAAATGAAATCCAAAACTTCTTCCTATATGGCAGCCCGATAAAACTATATGGGGGAAAGATGACGACTGGCATTATGTATTTATCCCTACTGCTAACAGGGTATACCAAGTTAAAATATGTTTTGCTATGGTATAAAAAAGTGCCTTCAAATGCACTGATAGAGTACAATCTCAAATTTTTTGATGGTTCTACCTCAATTCATGGTAACCTAAGAATGAATGGTCTTACAGCTTCATGTCTCATTTTAACAACATTTTACTTAGTTATCACATAAAAACACGAATAAATGAATCAAAAAATACTTTACCGAATATTGTTACTCGGAAATATTATTCTTATGAAGTTGTTATTCCACACGCGGAAATCTTATACACCAATGTAGATGGGTTAGCTTGCACCGATTGTATTTTAATGATCATTTTCAGGTGATTCGCGAACGGATCAAATTTCAGCAAACATGATTCAGCACAAATTCATCAAATGCCCTCTGTGCACAAATTTATGTGATTGATGGTGATGGTGCTACTTTTTCAGCGTGTGGAAGCAAACAAACGTACGTCGACGTTCAGCGCGTTCCAAATGCACTGTAATTGGCAATTTCAAAGATATCATTTTACAGGATCAGGTTGCGGGCCATAATACAGAAGTTTTATTTTACAGAATAAATAGAGTGAAAGTAAATTAGTGCTATATAGAAACGAGTTATTATTACTATGGGGATTGGCTTGATCATTCCACAGTCAGCATTTGCGTGTCAGTGGTAGCTTACGATTCCTCTATCAATAATATACTATTTCGCAATTGTTTCCGTACGAGATCTAAGGTAACATTCATTTTTTTCTCATTTGATCTCTTAATCAATATTTCTAGACACGTGTGATTTGTCACCTTGCAAAAACTGGGGAACTTGTAGAAATTCGACTGAAGAGCCGTATTACAAGTGCGCTTGTCGTCCAGAATATCAGGCAACTCATTGTGAAGGTGCGTAATATATATCGATATATTGGATATTTTGTGTTATTTTACTGTACTGTCTCGAAGCATTTATTTGCATTAAACATATCTTGACGAATAATTTTACATAAATCTCTAAATCTTTGAATACAAAAGTTTTAGTGCGAATTGCGTCAAAATGGCGTAAAATAAATCTTCTGAACACAAGAATGCGATATTGTTCTGAAAAAAGAGAAATCAATAAATAATAAATAAAGTTATTACAAATTTATAAAAGATATCTTTTTATTCTATTTAATGCAGAAAAAAGATACATCACCAGCTCAACAAACAACTGCAAATAAAACGTCAACCTTGGTGATAAAAAAACATTTAGTGAGACGAATTCAACTTGTAGCAAGCAGTCTTGGAGGAGCGATAGCAATGATGAAAATAACAGAAATACAGGACTTGGTTGAAGAACAGATAATAACCCAGTATGGATATCCAAAATACGCAATTGAGTTTTGGATTGGTGGATACAGAGTTAATAATTCATGGATATGGGTTGATGGTACAGACGTTCCAACAACAGGAAAAGATTCAAACTGGGCATCAAACTACAACACTTCCAAGGACAGTATGGTACTCAGTTCGCACGGATTAGGAATAAAAAATATGAAATGGTTTACTAAATTCAACTACATGACAAAAGGCTACATATGTGAGATATCAGGTACGATTTACAATTTTGTCTCAACACATCGCACTCACATGGTGCTCATCCGGTTCAAATATTAGTTTATGTAACCGATAACAAATTTACAGATATGTCTTGATAAAGGTAGATTTACAAAAACGGGTGTTTAATGTGGACTGTTAGTTTTAAACAATTCTTGCAAATGTTTCGTCATTGATTAGGATAAATATATTTTGTGCTTCAACACAAGATTGAAGATATTTCGAAATCATTCAGTCGTTAACTTATGAAAATTAGATAAAATTGTGATTCCTATTGAAGTCGCAAGAGATATTCAGTCACACAAAAGGACATGTTTATCTCACATTCTCAGTAAAGAATTTTAATTTAGGAGCGGAAAACCAATTTTGTTTTTATTTCACATGCATTGCATGCCTATATTAAATATATAATTCTTCATATAGAACAATCAATTTTGATTTGCATATTTCTATTATTTCATATTTCATGCAATGTAAAATTTCTGGAAATTCAGTACAAAAATGACCTTGATAACAAATAAATTAGCACGTAAAAGGAATTGCATACCTATAACATCAGGGTGTTCTTTTATCGGCCTAGTCCGTGTTTCTGGGTCGTATGAAATATGTTGTACATAAACACCAATTAGTTTGTATCCATTAGTTCATTCCCTCTCTTTTCTATCATATATACTTTATGCAACATTTACCGGACAAACACATGTATATATCAGTTGTCCACTGCGACACAAATCATTAAATACAGAGGCATCTCTATTTACATTATAAAAGCCCTATTTCTTGTAAAACATTATAAAAAATATATCTATTCCCAATTTCATTTGCTGTTTAGATCAATTTCTTGATTTTTACTTCTTTTGCGTCGTGGTGGAAAATGCCATGACTTCGTAAAAATTTGAATGAAATTTGATCATTTCTAAAGATAATATTCCAATATATGAGATATTGATTTGAATTTTTACAGTGGTTGACAGATGTTTGTTATTTCCATGTCGTAATTCGGGAACTTGCTGATCGGTTGTCAAAGAAAGTGCGAAGGTATGTGGGGTTTATGTGGGAGAACATTGTGAAAATAGTAAGTTTCATCTTTTTTTTTGCAAATGATTTCAGAATAATAAGGTTAGAACATTGAATTATACCTATTGTCCGCCAGCATCAGCAAGTTTTTCATTAATGCTGAGTGTTGTATACTCATTGACTGTTATATTCCATTTTGGAACAATTGAAAATACGGGTAATTTACGCAATTTAAGTTTTTAAGATATCAATTTTCTACGATATTTTTGTTATAATTAGTTCGCTTATGAACCAAACAATTACTGCAGTTTATTTTACAGAATAAATAAGGTGAAAGTATATTAGCGTTATATATAAACGAAGTATCACTACTATTGGGCTTGGCTTGATAATTTCGATATTGCTTTGTTCCCTTCTGTACAAGGACAATCTACGAATGTTCGTACTTTATTGATTTTCCTTACCTTCAAACGCATAGAAAGAATTTACCCTTTTATTGTTGCTAAATACGCTATACGGCGTCATGTTAGTCAGCAATTTCTTTGTTATATTCACGCTCACCAGAGCATGGCGTTATCAAGCGATACTGATTAGTCACTCTTCCTGGCTGACTCGCACTATATTTAATTTATGTTTTCTATATTGCAAGTCAGGATGACATACTCCAATATTATTTTTTTTTCTCGATGTTTGTTTAACGTCATCTGCTTTTCAAATCGGAAAATAAGGTGTTGCTGATACGATAACTTGGATTTTTCGCGGCGCCTCGTCAATTGCGGAGATATTGTATATTAGTTTATTTCAATTGATTGTTTATTATTACATTTGTTTGCTTGTGTCTTTGCAATATTTCTTGCACGACGATATAAAATATCTGAATCTAGTGTTAATTCTTAGTTCATTAAGTCATGCTCTCATCTGTATCTGCTCATATCTACAACGCATCAGTGGAT